GCTGACTTGGGCTGCTGAGAATATGTAGGAGATGGCAAATTATGTGATGAGGGCTGAGTGTAGAGGTACCCGCAACCTAAGCCTCACGTGCTTTTGGTTGTCATTAAGTGGGACCAGTACTAGGAAAATGCTGGTAGTTGTAGGTCCTCGGAATCGCCTTTCCTTTTCAAGGACCCATCCTTGTTCCCTGGTCACTCACTGCCGTAAGTATCTGCCTTCTCCAGTACACAAATGGATACTTCTTTGGTTCACCCTAAACTCAGGGCATCTGCCATGATTGTACCTCATGAGAGTGTATTCACCCTGTTTGCTCTCTGCAGAGCACATCTAGGGAAAACGCCTCTGCTTAAAGGCATAGTTGTGTTTCTAAAGATTTCAGAGGACATGTGCAGCCAACTGGGGACATGTTTTCAGCCCAGCAGACCTTTCAAGTGCCCCTCAAATTGACCTGCCTAATTTAATCTAAAGTCAGCCATGCTGCTCCTGGAGAAGGACCATGATCAACGCTGCACTTCCCTCTCACCCTAAAGACCTTGGTACTGTCAAGACTCGCTCCATGTTATTTTACTTACTTATTTATTTTAAGTCTATTTTAGTATTATACAAAATACGTGAGTCAGTACTTAATAAATCTTTCCCTTTTGGTGATATTTTTGATAGCAAAATTTTACCTACTTTTAGAAATCTTCCCTTCACAATTTATGTTTCAAGTAACAAAATGTTTTGATTGGTTAGGGTTTTTTCCTCCTCCCCTTAAAAATATAATGCGACCTGAAAATATATATTAAATATTCTCTTTAATCCTGTCTGTTCTTTAAAATGGATCTAATAGAGTCCTACATTTGGGTTTCCAGTTTCAAACTTGTAATTTGGAAGATGAATATCAGGAAGGAACTCCAAGAAGAGATAGGCGGTGTGATGAGAAATGTTAAAGAGAATATTCTAGATAGTCATAGCTTCTGTTGACACTGACCAAACCATTTTGGAAATTCTGGTCTCTGTTTCCTTCCCTGTACAATAGGGTTAATTTTATTTCTTTGCCGAGCACACTGAAAGTAACCTGTTAAAAACTGGTATGTCAGTGTAAGTATTGCTCATTATTAATCCTGCCTCTCAGACCCTTTCCTTTCATTAGACAAGGGGTTGGGGTGTTTAACAGTTCAGCACTCTGTCTCCTACCAGGAATAATTGCTTGATTTCTCTCATTGTTCGTAGCACTTCCTGAATTAGATTAATTTCTTTATGTTCTATCTCTGTCTTTTTATGACAGAAATTCCTTTAACTAAAAATATAGCAAGACATGATACTATTTGCATACAAAAAGTCGATCAAACCTCTTTTTATTTGAAACCTGTCATTTTGAAATGGCCTTTAGCATCTAGCATTTGAGACCTAAACCATTGGGTCTGCCTCATCACAAAACTTACAAGTTTGCTGTGGTCACTGTGCAGCTGTTTGCCTAATGCCTGAGTGAAGGTTAAAGTCAGTTGGGGTGGTGCCTGCACAGATCTTAGAAGTTCAGAGAGTCTGAACAAAGACAATGGCACATTTCCATTACATTGAGGGCTGAAGCACCTCTCAGACTGAGATGATAATGAACTCACCATATGTACAAAACCATTAACATAGCAAGCTTCCCCCGCTCTGCCCCAAGTGGTACTTGCTTCTTATGAGACAACAGACCTGTCTATCAACTACAGTTAGTGCTCTCTGGGTTCAAAAGACAGCCCTGTGGGGCATCTAGCAGTATCTTTGTGCAAGTGTGTGTATGTGTACACGTGTGCGTGCACACACACAGGTGCACATATGCATCTGATCTAAAGCATAATCCTCCTTTGTTCAAAACAGACTTTTCAGAAATTTACAAAATCAAACTCAGGATATGTTTAGACCTCAGCAACAACAGATGAAAACAGCGATGATTAGTGAAATTAATAGGAAGTATTTATTACTAGTCATGGAATGAACTTAAATTCAGTTCTGAATTTCCCGGTACAAAAGCAAAACACACGTTAACTTATGTAATCATTGTTACAGGATAAAAGAAAGCAACAAAATCTTCCCGGAAAGAGAAAAACTTTCCAGGTAGAAAATTCCAGAATGGATCCATTTTACTGGATCACCTGTTAGACACTAGATAACAATGGGCAATGTCCTCTACTGATGTAGGGGGATCCGTATGGTGTGCTCTAAAGGCCAGCCCTGGGAAAAGGTGAAGAGATTGTGTGAAATAGTTAGTGGAGATGATCTGAAGGAGCAGGCATGGTCCCAGCATTCTAGGTTTCTGCTTTACCACAGGACTACCTTGGAGAGCCTCACAGGAAGTCATAGTGAGGTGCCCATTTGGTTGTGACATCTTGGCCTGCTGGATTAGAGTCAACTTGCGGTGGCACTGTTAAATGAAGGGCAAATTGGTTGCTGATTAAGGCAGGTTGCTAATCTGAAGGAGGCAGGCCTTGTTTTAAATTTTAGAAATTTTGGAGATCCATTCTCCAGGAACATCAGCCAACTTCCAGAGTTCAACTTTGAGGGCTTTCTAGAATGACTAGTTTATCTTGGTAGAACTTTTAGTCTGCTCACAATTTTAGATGGATACTAGGATTCCAGAACAAGCAAGAAATTATTTTGAATCAGATGGTCATAATGGAAAGCATTACATTCTGTGTCATGAGGGCCCAGGCTAGAGACCTGTGAGCCAGGCAGTGTGGTGCACAGGACTTCTCTCAGGTTTTGCTGGGCTCATGGAATGAAGAACAATTTCTTAGACCGAGTGGCTGCCTCTACTCGGCCCTGGCTGATGCTGCAGCAGGTGAACAGAGGCCTAGTTTTGCCCAATCTTCCAGTTTTCCAGGAGAGGCTAAAAATCTGGCTTTTTACATGAGCTCTGATGAATTAGAAATGTAGTCTTAAATTTTTTAAGAAACATTTATGCAGGCCAAACCAAACACATCTGCAATCTAGTTTCATCTTAAGGCCTGGTCAATGATCTTAATCAAAAACTAGATTCAGATTGGCACAGTAGAATTTCAGATGTTTTGCAGAACTGAATATTGATTTTAAAAAACAAAAATGAGTTTATTACACTGGCCCAGTAAACGGGAATGGCCAGTTTTTCCCATGTGATTAGTTGGGGTCCTCCTCCCACCCCCACCCAGAATCAGTTTCATTCTAGTGAACTTGAAGTTACTCTGGTTTCTTGATTCACCAGGCATACCGTTACTTAATTTCAGCATATGTGTGGGTCAGCACCATGGATAGGTACCATACATGTTTAATAAAATGTCATTGTCTGAAATCTGTTTCTAAGCAACCCAGTATGCTGAATAATGCTGATTTGGGGATAAATGGTCCAGGCATTATTTATTTATTTATTTATTTATTTATAGGGAGATGTCTTTAAAACAGTATACTTAAGTAATTGAGTTTTGTGATTTTTCCCCCATCGGTCATGTCTAAACAAGCAGTAGAAACAAAAATGTCAATGGTATTTATTGAATGCTTATTATGTACCATGCATTGTGCAGAGTGTTATTTATATTTCATTTAATTTTCACAAAGCTCTTTGAGGTGGATATAGTCATTATAATCATCATTCTCCCTACATTGTAGGCATGGTACTCTGAGGCTAAGTACCTTAAGCAACATGGCCCTAAGTTCCACAGTCAATAGTTAGTGTAATGGAGCCCAGATTCAAACCCAGACAGTGTGACTCACATCAATGCCCTCTGCCTGCCCAAGCCCAGGTCTCCAGTATGACATTTTTTTCTTTGAGTGTTGAAAAACGTGTTATTTGGGATCCCATGGTGTCTTGAAAGTCAAGTAACAGGAAAGAACAGGTTACAAAGGGCAATAAGGAATGTCCGATTGCCTTTCTCCTCACTTTCTCATTTCAGTCTTCAGATATGAATTATGAATAATTCTTACTGAAATTTACAGTATGTATGGACTGACTCACACAGCAAATCTGAAGCTTCCAGTGAGCCTCAGGTTTCACAATTCTTCATCAGAAATTACAGATGAATACAAACCGTCTGATCCTGTCTAGTTTAAGAGCACACATTTCCCATTTCCTCTCTAGACAAAGGGAGGGAGAGCAGCTGAGAGCTTGTACACCAGATCTGGTACTAGTTAATGTAGTAGAGGTATGGCTTTTAACAGTTGAATGTGGGGAGTTTAATACAATATTGTGCCAATTTTCTTAGTACACAGTGTTTTCTGTAATTATTAATATCAAACTTGACTGTATTTTTTTTTATTAGTAAAGACCTTTTAGCAAAGGCCTACTCTAAAATACAGTCTCCTTTTTATTATTCATGGCTAAATCAATGATAGCTATTGGCAAAGGTTCAAAACTATCCCTGTTAACTTGTTTTTAATAGTGTTTGATTTATATGTGTGCCCGAATCTCCAACACATGAGTGTATCTGTGTTTACTAATTGCAGTTATATGCATTTAAACACAGTGTTATTGGTGGAAAATCAAGCATAAAACATGAAAAATGTGTGATTATTAAGGAGTTCAAATTGTAGTTTCTCCTTCCAGCACAGGGATATCATGATGCAGTTTTGATTGTTTTTCGTTTCTGGATAATTTTGATGATCTGTTTCTTCCCTTTCTAATTAATTGCAAAAGTCTTCCCCCTAATGGACACAAATTAATTAAAACATTGTTTTACTCATTAGTATATGCTTTTTCTTTGGGCCCATACTGTCCTTCCCAACTGGAAGGACACTACTAGGTAGTGTATCCAGAAATTAGACTCGTAGTAGTCTGGTCTACTCCTCAGAACAAGATTGAAGCCCTTGGATATATATAATGAGAAAACTTTGGTCACTTTTCCCATTTTTCTAACTCAATTCACAAACAAAGAACATCATAGTATCTAATATCTGTGATATCACTTGTTCAAAATCGAATGCATTTACATGTGTCCTTGAAATGTATCTTGTGTATGTTCTGTGGAATGTATTCCATTAATGACCTATGAACTTCATTTTAGACAATCCATGGACACAAGGGACCAATCACTGCAGTGGCCTTTGCTCCTGACGGGCGATATCTTGCCACCTACTCAAACACTGACAGCCACATTTCTTTCTGGCAGGTAAGAGTATATGTTATGGGTCTTAAAGTATAAGCTGCATGGTGTGGGTGCCGTGGTGGGAATACCTTCCTGTGGAGCGCCCCTCTGAGCCCTACTCCCTGTGCTTCCTCCCCTCCTTCAACAAATGGCAAGTGTTTATTGATTGCTGATTACGTGTCAGACACTTGTGCACAGGGCACTGAGGACACAGTTAGCAATCTGGAAAGGGGGCATCTGCTGTCACAGAGCTTTCAGCATAGGGATACAGGAATAAGCCCAGCATTCACAGTGCAGGGGAGAGTCTGAGCATGAGGTATGGGAAGCTTTTCCAGAGGAAACCGCATCCAGACTGAGCTGTGCGGGATGCTGAGGAGGGAGGCACAGTCGCTGGGAAGCAAGGACATGGCATATTGCAGGGCCAGCCCAGCCTGAAAGGAGCTGGGCAGGGAAGCCTTGCTGAGGCTGGGAATTCACACAGAGTTCTTGGGTCTGTGACTCTGAGTGGGCACAGGACACAAGACATCGAGGTGCTTTCTGAGTATTCACTTTATGCCCCCTTCAAATGATCTCACTTTTGTTTGAATTATGAATTTCCCACATAATGTTATTAATTCCCCAGCTCTTCAAAACATTTTAAAAAACTTGAGTATCTATTTCTGGCAATTCATAAGAATGCCCATATTTAATTCTGACTTCAGTGATTAGTGACTTGGTGATTAATATTCACTAATTTAAGTGAACACTGATTTTCACACTAGAATGTGTTTTGTCCTCAGTGTTTAATTGTTATCCATCTTCTTTTTTAATGACATTACTCTTTTAGTCCTGATAGTTTTAAAAAATTACATATCACCAAGCCCCCCAAAAGAGTTAAAATTTTGCCACCTTTATTTTCCTAGGATGCAAGTTATATTTTATAAGATTCTGTGTACTGCTTTGAAAGCTAAAAAATAAAATAAAAGTTTAAACAAGGAAGGCTTCAGCACAACTTGATGCCAGTTTTAAAAAATCAATAGCTAATAAAATGTAAAACGGATACAATAAATTGCTTAATTAACAACATGCTATTAAAGCGTGACAACTTCCAAATCTGTCACAGACTTCCACTTTTTATCTAATTTAGTTTTCCAGTTTATTTTCTCATTATCCTTTCTTCTAGAATATATCTCCAGCATCTTAATTAGCTCATATTAAACTCCTTTCATCAGAGATCTCATTCACGTTTCATTCTTCCCAATGGGTAACCTCAGGACTGGCATTTTACTAAAATCCGATGTGAGTCCTCTAGGTATCCAGAAACTAGACTCGTGGAACAGTGGTTCTTTTAAGAGTGAGCTACTGATGGCTTTTATCTTCTCATTGACACAATGGTCTCTGTGCCACTATTTCCCTTTATTCCCCGTTCTCTTGGAATCGTGGAGGAGTGCTCCCATTCATTCAGCCTCGACTGGCCGTCCAAGTGCTGGGTGCTGGCTGCCCTCTGGAAATGGAGATCAGCAGGTCACAGCCTCTGCTTCCAGAAGCTTCTCTTCTGTCCATGCTTTCTCCTTTGGAGTAAACAGACTAAACCTTTTCCTTTGTGTTAAAACTTTTGTTCTGCTAAGGAAATCTATGATTTAAAGGATTGCCTCCCAAAGTAGCCAGATTTGACACTTTTTACAGTATTTTCTTGAAATTTCCATTTTCTTCTTTCTCTTCTCTAGGTCTTTAAGATTTTATTTGCATGTGTTTGTTCATCTTTTTCTTGAGAACTCTTTCAGTCACAGTCTCTGTCCAGCATGTTGGTGGAATTGTGGTTAGCCTCCTCTCTTACCCGGGAGGTCAAGGTCATTCACAGGTTGTTATCTTTCTGAGATCCCTCTTCCTCTCCAGTTCCTCTCTGTAGCACCCACTGTGTCCCAGTACTCTGTCAGGTCTAGCTAAGCCTGTGTGCCTGTGCGTGTGGCTCTGTCCACAGAGGGGGTGCAGTACCGTTGGTTAGTCCACAAGCTCTGTCTGATGTCCTGTGCACATGGCAGAGTGCCCCAGCAACCAGAGCAACACACGCGCCTTTCTCGCCTCTAAAATCAATGTCGGAATTTAAGATGTAGCCCATTCCTTGGATGCTTAAATTATACCCAGCTGAGTCTTGAAAATTAAATGGAAGATACAGAAACACATGATTTCAGCTTTATCAAGAAAATATAAGGAAAAGTTTTCTAGAAGTGCAGTGGTCTTGTGTTTGAATTACGGAGAACCCAGAAGGCAGAAAGCAGCATTGGATCTACTGCTGCTCTCCCCAAATGAGCTTGACTGATTTATTTAGATTCATGTTATTTATTTCTAATGATGTACGCGAATACTTTTATATTATTCCAGTAAGTGTACTGTAATACATTTTGAAAACGTAATGAAGTCTTATTAATACAGAGCCTGACTAAGGCTATCAACTATTAAAATCTTTGCTGAGAAGTGAGTGTTAATGAGAAATATTGGTTGGATAATTACTCAAGTGAGACTTAGTAAAAGGTTTGTGTACAGCATTACTTATATAAGGAAGGCAGTAAAACATTTCCTGTTTTGATGAATTGTATCTGTGTTTCTGTATTCTGAAAATAATCTCCATAGAACTGGTTTTGTGCTGCATGTTTTCGAAGGGACGGGAAAGGCCAAGTTGGCATGTTAGTTTACACATTCAGCCATCGAATAATATAACTCAGCAGTCTTTCAAACCTTTTGATTCTCTCACTTCATTTTCCTACAATTTGAATCCTTCACTTCAGTGTATCTCTTGATATTTGAGCAGGGGGAAATCGGTGATGAAATATATTTGTAATTCTCTTACCTAAATTTACCACCACCATCCAACAAATAAATATCCTCTTTCAGAAATGCTATAAAAAATCTGACTGACATTGGCTTCATTTATTTTTATTTCCTCCATCATACAGTAGGATAATACTATTCAGCAATTTTAAAAGAATGATGTAAATCTACAATCATTAACATGCAAAGATTGCCCTCAACATTTTGTTGATGAAAAAAGCACATTGCAAAACTACCTTTTAATATGAATCTCTTGAAGTCCATTTCTCCCCCAGCGTGTCTATACTTAGAGGTCTGGAAGGTTGTTTACGAAACGTCAACACAATTGTCTCTGGGAGTGAGATTCAGGGCATTTTGCTTTCTTTTTTGTAGTTCTATTATTTGAGTTTTTTATAGTGAGAGTATTTATTATCTTTATAATCAGGAAAAATGCAATATTACCCAATCTGGTAATTCCATGCATTGTTTGTTCAGGGTTTAAGTTGCCCTTAACTTTAGCCTAGTTTAATCAAGAAAAAAATGATGCTGCATAGCCAAATGGTGAATTATTTCAGAGAGAGTTATTTGGTTAAGCTTATTGGGAAAATTAATGCACACCTTTCCTACTTGAAATCTGTTCCTCATTTGAAGAGGTCACGGGGAAAGGATGGTCTGAGGGGCAGTGGAATTTAGTGAGTATGATGTCCTCATCCTTTCAATGGGGTGCAGCTATGGCAATTCTGGACCTTACAGAACCCCATTCTGAGGCAGAAAGGCTGTTTGACACTAGTGACAGCATTTATCAAAGTAGAGATGACTCATGCCATAAAAGGAACCCAGATTAATAATGGAATTTTCTGGAAATCTTTCCATCTAGAGAGCTCTCGTAAGATATTTTCTTCCTCTCCCCTTTTACCCTCAACCTTTTTCTTGTACATAGCTGGATTTCAAGGAAAGAATTAAAAGTAGGAAAGCATCTGAGCACATTATATATCTTTGCATTTTGAACCACAAGCAGAAATCAAGCTTCATACATATTTTCATAGAAAATCCATAATAAAAGAAAAATACTTTGTAGTTATTTATCAACTGAGAAATTAGATTTTTTTTTTTAAAGTATAGTTTGCCTATTGATGCCAGTTAATTTTAACCAGCAATTTTCAGGATCATTTGGATCTGTTCTGTAAGAGGACTAAATTATATACTGTTACTTTTTGTAGATGTGAGACCTATCCAGTCAAGCTTACTATTATTATTCATGTTTGAACTATTTGGGAACCTCCAAAAGGCAATAAGGCATTGATTTTTCTCTTTATTGGTGTTTTTGGAAACAGGAGGGAAGGAAACAAGAGGCTTTTGGAAGGATGACAGTGTGATACTTCCTGAATGTGAACTGAACTTCAACAGAAAGAGTTAACGATAACCATACATTTGGTTTTAAAATGTGACCTCGTACACTAGTGATTTTTTTTCACCTCTGTGTTGTGTTCGGCACTATTATTAATGCAGGAAAATCAGTAACATTAGTCATCTTAAAAGGGTTATTACTCAAGATGATTTAAATTGTGAAAATGTCAGTGGAGCCTGCGTGCACTCTGCTAGAGATGCCATGATTTACGCCCTCTGACACCATCCTGCTGCTGAGAGAGGCTGGCAAAAGGAATGGCTTGTATTTTGCTCTGATCCAAATGCAGAGCATGATATCAGCAAAACACATCTCAAATGTCCTAGGACTCGCTAGGGTTTTATGTAGCAACCATTTGTATAAGCTGGACCATAATCTGCATGCTTCCTCCAAATCCCTAGCATCCTATGCATGTAGATGGAGACTTTACCAGCAAGAAGAACCAGAAATGAAAATTAGTGCAAAGAAAAAAAATATTATTTCCAAGGCATCTTTCCTGACTTTCAGTATGCTTTCCATGTGATTTATGATAGTACAAATGATGCATTTGCAAACATTTTAAGAAATATTTAAAATCTAAAGAAAGCTTTAGATTCAGTTGCTCCAAAAACAGTTCACTTAGAAAACTGTCATTCAAATGTGAGAACTTTGACCTGAATACATAGTTGTTCATGATTTATAAATTTCCACGTTATTTTTCATTCTGTGAATGGAAGAAGAAAACTATAGTTGAAATCAAATCCAGAAAAACTACTTTTTGCAAAAATCACCAACTGATAAAGAGGAAATGTCCATCAATCATGGAGGGTAAACTCTGTTTAGCAGGATAGCAAAACAATGAAATGGAACTGATTCTTGTTTCTTCCTTCAATATAAGTAAAGGTTTTTCAGAGCCTGTTTTCAAAAAGCAGGTGAGGAATGAAGGTGTTGGCAAAGGGATAGGGATTAGGGTTCATGCTTGGTTGCAGTCATCAGTCACTCATGACTACAGCCTCACTTGGCTTCATTTTCTTGAACTAATTATAGACCCTAAAACTTGTCTTTATTGACTCATCCTTCAGGAGATGCAGCTAATGTTATTGTCAAAGAATACAAAGATCTGCAGTTTTAAATACCTACAACTTCCAGATATTGTCTAACTGAAGCATTTTATTAACAGCTGTAACTTAGCTTCCTTCCTAAAGATTGATGGACTCACCTGCTGACAGATTCCGCCCACAAAGTAAAATTTCTCCAGTCTTACATGTTTACAGTACCAGCATCAGAACAATTTCAAATCCACCCAAAGAAGTGCTTAAAGGTTAAGAATAAGAATACAAGTTAGATAAATATAGATAGCCATTAGGGAGTAGAAAATGACCAGAAGAGATGAACCAGTCTCTTTGGAAGGAAAAGGGAAAGGGAAAGGGTCCTTTAATTGACACTTGTGCTCTTCTGTCCCCTGTCCCACCAGATGAATACGTCACTCTTGGGAAGCATCGGCATGCTGAATTCAGCCCCTCAGCTGCGCTGCATTAAAACCTACCAGGTGCCCCCAGTGCAGCCAGCATCTCCTGGCTCCCACAATGCCCTCAGACTGGCTCGGCTCATCTGGACTTCCAACCGCAATGTCATCCTCATGGCGCACGACGGGAAGGAGCACCGCTTCATGGTCTAGCGCTACCTGCTGCCCTAACTGCGTTTTGTTTCCCTCAGTTCTCTAGGCCGACGTTGCTCTGTCCCTACAGCGGATCATTCCTTGGTGCCGGCCCACCCCAGTGTCATCCAGGGGCGCTGCTGGGTCTGTGTCACTCGTGCATGCTTCTTGGGGGCAGACTCCCGCACGGGCCTCCTATTGATTCAGAGGCATGCACACACCACTCGACAGGATGTGGCCATTCTGTCACTAGGTGGTTTTTCCCTGCCAGAGATGGGAGGGGTAAGCCAGCGGTTCCTGGGAACACTCTTCTTGCTCTGTGCAACAGAAGCCCAAAAATCAATAACCACTGTGATTGCACTCTCAGCCCGATCAGCCTTCCCAGCCATTGAAGCCAGCCCTGAGTGCTGCTTGAATCTGGTCATTCTGACGCTGGCATTGAGGTGATGTGGCAGTCCTCATTATTGAAATTACTCCCCTTTGGATTTCCTAAAACATACTGTTGTTTACCAAAAAGATTCTGTGTTTACATGTTTTTTTTCCCATTGGTAATTGCTAGGAAATTACTCAATTCAATTTCCTAGGATTTAGCCGCCACCTTCTTCAGTGACACTTAGCTGATTTGAGATTAATGAGAAAATATTTAAATATATTTTCCTTGTATAAAAATACATTTTCCAGATACCTAGCTTTCTGTAGTGCTCATTTCCTGCTGAAATAATGGTATATGTAGTAGTTTAAAATAAAAATCATTCACTATTTATTATATAGCTAATATAATTATCCAGTCACTGTAACTAATCTTTTGAGGGGACTCTTGTGATAATGAAGCAAGTTTGGAAGCATAGAATATACCTAAAATGAAGACTCTCCTTTATCTTGCTCTAGACCTTTTTGTTCAGGAAAGAGATTGCTTCTTCCTTCTGGAAACTTCTCAACCTGCAGATCCCATGTGTATGACATGTCAATTATAATGCTAGAATTACATATCAGCATTTCAACTACTGATCAGTTAAAGGAAAACTAAGGAAGGATTTCTTTTAGACAAGTACACTTGAAAATTAATATCGATGGCACAAACGTTTAGGAGTGGGGGTTCTCGGTTTGTTTGAAAAGGCACTGCAGCACCTGTGTTCTTCAGGCTTTTAAGGAAGCTTCAGCTTGCTCACTTTCTCCTGATGTCCAGTTATGCTGGTCTGTCTTACAGTAATGGAAAAGTCCATCAGTTAATATTTTATATGAATTGCTTCTAACAGGTTTTATCTATATATTGTTCAGGGGAGTGGTTGTTGATTGGTTGGCTGGCTGGCTGGTTGTTGATTGGTTCATTAGTTAGGTGAAATGGTTTATTAAATGCAAAAATATGAAATAATTTATTAAATTCAGAGAAAATATGCAAAGTTTGCAGAGGAACCAGAACATGATGGAAGCAATTAATCTAAAAAGCTTAGATTGTTCCATAATTCACAGAAACATAGGATCAAGGTCCAGAAACAAATATATCTGTTATTTTATTGAAACAGATTTTTAAAGAACATATTAAAAAATTAAGCCCAGTAGAACATACCTTTCATATTGATATAAAATGTTATTCCCATTGATGGCAAATATGTACTATTTCTTGGTTTCAGATGTTGGGTGTTCTTTCAAAAGTGAATTTATGCTACATGCATGTACATCATATTTATAATGATTATATATGTAGTTTCCAAGAAAGAAACCACGAACTACACAGTGTAGACTTTGTGTGGTGAATGTGCTGTTGTGTTTGTGGTAGAGAAATGTGGGGTAAACTAACAGGCACACTGTGTTTTTCCAGTGGGCTTCTGAGTCTGCTCTTTACTCAGCACATGTTTACTTTCTGAACTTAAATGGAAATTAATTTATTCTAGACTACAAAACTATTTGGAATGAGGAGGTAAACATAAACCTTAGATTTTTTTTTTTTTAACAAAACATTCTGTGCATCAGAAAAAAAAAAAGTGTGGGACTTGTAGGCAAGCCACCACACTGCACACGTGGTACCCACCGTGGAGACTGAGGACAAAGCTGTGAGATCTGGGGGAGCAAAAACCCTGGTCAAGGGGAGAGCCAGCCTCTCCACATCCCATGTGCCCAGATACTGGCTGTGATGAGGCAGTAGAATATGAGGACTGTGGAGCTCCGTGGGGGGTTATGTTGATGATTAGATGACATCTCTAACTGCTGAACTAATATTTACATTCTTGTTAACATAATGCTCTCCTTTGCTATTTGACACCCACAGTCCCAAACTTCATCCCAGCTTATGTTTCTCAGCTCTGAGGTAAACTTTGTATTGTCATCCCAGTGTACACTGTTAGTGTTTTATTGATTTTGTTAGCACTGCTTTTGGACCTGTCCTTGTAAATGTAGACACATATGTGGCTCCACTGGTAATTTACAAGCAAAAGATGACATGACGTGACATCTGTATGAAAATGTCGTAATGATTGAACTTACTATGTACAGCAAGTGAATTAAAATGTCTGCCTCCCAGGACATTTCTGGATAATTCCACTTAATAGATTCTGTATGTGCTGAATGTCCCTGTGTACATAATGTGTGTTAAATAAAACTGAATTATACTGAAGATGGTTTTCCTGATATTGTTGATATTTTCCTGATATTTTTCCAGTGTTTACCCTTCTTAAACATTCTCAGTTGAAATCCATGGGCTCTCCTCATTCTTTTGTTTCTGATGACTTATTTCACTGGAGAGCTGGATTCCGGAAAGACAGACTTATTTCAACAGAGCAGTGGAGAAGGAAACCTCACCCACACTGCCCCAGAGGAAGACAGCCAGAGGGAGGAAACTCAACAGTGCCCCCTGTGGCGTGGGCAAGGGAATTGCATGCATGCTGCTTTATCTCCACCCTAAGTTGCTCCCAGATTGTTAATTGTACCAAATTGTATCTTGTCAGACATGACAACATAGGTTGGCTGTCTCGTGGGAGCTGGGCTGACATCATTAAGTTTATTTCATTTAGTACTCAGTTTGAAGATGAGTTTGAATCCCTGAGGTAAAAAGTGTATAATTGGTTCTCAGAAAAAAACAAAAATCACAAAATAGGCCCTCAATGCTCCCAGAATATAACGTGAAAGGAGAAAATGGACTTTTATTTTAATACTTTCAGATGAGAATACAGAACAGTTGGAATTTGGTCAATCATCATATAATAGTATATTCTTCAATAGGAATTAGATAAACATTAAAGATTTGACTGTGGACCTGTCAAATGCCCAGGGATGGCCCTAGAATTGTTTAACACATCCTGATGACTTAAATTTATCTTTATAGGAAAATAAGAGCAGAAACAGTTCTGTATGATTGGTGATCACATAAACTGATCAAATGTGGAAAGGGCATGACATTAATAGGAAGGTAAAGCCAAGCAGTGCTGAGTGAACTTTCACCTTTCACCCCTTCGCCTGACTGACAGAGCTGAGTGTTGAAGAAAATCAATACTTTGGAGCCAGGAGGGAAATATTTCCACCCTCTAACTAGAGAATGTATTTTGACAAGGCCAAGATAATCCAAGCTGCACAGGAGAAAGAGAAAAGAAGACTCATTTTTAAAGCTTGACACTTCAAGGTGTTTTTGTGCAATGGCTTAGAGATCGTCAATACATACAAATACCAAAGGTCAAAAAGAAAAGCCAGAAGAATTTCAAAAATTAGATGTTCCAGTTTCTTTTTACTGTTTACAAACTAAAAAAAGACTACAAAAGGGTTTGTGCTTGTAATTGTCATTTAGATGAACTGAGCTCATAACTGGGTTTCAAGATTATCATCCCTCTTTAATGATACCTTAAATTTCATATTTATGTGAATATCACATGCCAACAATGTATTCAGACTTACTAGAGTCCATTTTGGGGGGACATGAGTTGGGTTTTGAGTGATGATGTCATTTTGCCTCCCATCTTGAAATATGGTTGTGCAGTTCATTTTGATGCTGCTGCGTTGGCATCATAAACCTTAGGCCCTCTTCACAGTTGGTTCAATTGTTGGCATGAGAAAAGAGTTCATGTGCCTCTAGAGTTTAAACCGTTTCTCATTTCCCAAGTCCCTTTAAACACATCACTTATAAAGGTACACTAATGGGGACCCTTCTAAGTGAGAAGCTTGAGCACCTCCAAGGAAAAAGGTAAGTGGGTTCACTCCATTGTCGCCAGTAAGACTGCTCATTCCTTCTGTGGACAAATACCTCCAGCCAACAGATATAGATTCTTTTCTTTCCTACAGATAAAAGAACAAAGAAGTCAAAATTGTGTCCTTACCTTCAGAGAAGCTTAGAAGGACAGAGGAAATTCTCAAGTGTAATAAAGTGGTCCTCAAAAGTGTGCTGTATCAGTCCCAGTGAAAATGCGTATTGTAATTATAGAGAAAACAAAGCCTCAAATTATATGCCCTCTTTCTCATTAATAAATTCCACTCTGTTCTGAGAAGATTGCTTAGGCTGGAGGTTTTGCTCTACTTTGCTTCAAAAGGAAAATGCAGCCAGCCAACACTCCTCAATATTCTGAGATTTCTCAGAGAAGGCCAAGAATATGTCATGCAAAATTTGTAGTAGGTATCAAATAAATATATGCTGTATTTGCAAATTCCATGAGCTTGCACCTGTAAAATGCTTGGAAGTTCACTACCTGGTAAGTACTCAATAGAATGTAAGCTCATGTTTTCAGTAGACATTTAGAATTTCATGTGGAGCATGTATAAACAAGGTTACCCATGTCCTTTGGAAAACATGGTTAACTTTTTTTTGTTGTGTGCTGTTTTCATCTCTATCTGTACTCTAGCATAGGTCTGAACAACTTACCCAAAGCAGAGCTTCTGTTCTGCTTGGATTCATCAGACTCTTCTGGATTGCTCTGTGCATCCATCTTGTTTTACCCCCAAATCTGTAGACACAAAGAAATGTGCAGACATATGCCAATGGATTGGACAGCTTGATTATGGCTAAAGTTATGACTGATTCCTCAAGAAGAAAGTAGATCAACATATAACACTTAGAATTCACAATAGAATAAGTAATGATTTTGAGTTACTTAATGAATATCTTCCAAAAAGCCATCAAGATTGAACAAGACTCTGGACAAAGTTTTACAGAGTGGGTTTCACAGAAATCATCAAAGCAAGGGAAAACAAATATGTAGGTTCTGTTACCAATTGCTTGTTTTGACTAGGATCAAAATGATTTAGCACTTAAATTTACCCAAATAAGAAATGTATTCTTTAAAACTTGACACACTTTAAGTTTTAGTGAAAATGTGTGAATAATTTACAGATCTGGCAATGAAATGTTATTTTTATTCAATCAGCAAGTATTGATTGAATCTTAGCATGTGACAGGCAAATGTTCTGTATTTTCCTCTGGTGGATGAGCTCACAATCTAACACTATGGAATAAGTGCTAAAAACAGATGGGTGAAGAGCTAAAAGGGGACAAGAGAGTGATCAATTCTGATGGGACAGTGGAAAATTAGGCAACCCAGAGATAAATCATTTGGGCTGGGCCTTGAAGAATAAATAGAAATAGGAAGATGGGAATGTTTTAAGGCAGGAATTTATGGAAGCCCAAATCTTTATGTGGTCTGAATGGATCTAAACTCCACCAGACCTACAACTTGAAGGACATTGGTAGGTACTGACCAAGGTCCAGACAGCTCTTCACTTGCAGCTTGAACTGCAACTATGGAAAACCAGAATCCCTTATCTAAGAACACTTGAAATTTACATGGCAAAGACCTTAATTAAAAATTTATCTGACTTCAAGTTCCACATTTATTTTTTTTAATTCTTTTTGTTTTAAAAATAAATTGTGCATCCTCTTTATTCCAATCCCAGTGTGTAGCAGACACAGGAGTTGGATGCAGGCCCTGCACTGCCCAAATCCTCCCACCCCAGGATGGAAGCAGTTATTTCCCTAGCTTCTGGGAGCATTGACATCTAACGGCTCCCTGCTGAGTCTCTCTCTTGATATTTTTTCCCAGCCAAATAAATTGTCTTACCCAACATCATATTCTCTTTCCTGGGGGGCAACCATATCCCAAGATGGGCTAGGGTATAAGGGCCCTTCCCTGTGTTGCATTTCTAAATAATTGTGAGGGGCCCTCTCAGCTCTAGAACTTTCCTGAAGGCTGGCTGAAGCCTTCATTGAATGATTCATGGCTCAGCCTCACCCTCTGTCCAGTCCGATTTCCCTCCCTTGCAGCTGTTCATCCTGAGAACACTGCTCCATGAACTTCCTATAGACAGATCTCTCTCACAGTCTGTACCCCAGAGAACCCAACCCATGACAGTTGGTACCAAGTGTGTGGTTCAAGAAAGCAGCTTTTAAAACAGGACTTGGGAGTTGGGTCACTCCCTCACCCACAGCAAGGAGGAGCCCATCACTGGTGGGAGGTGATCAGGGATAGTCTGTGGCATGCTGGAGCTATGCAATTGTTAAAACTTTCATTGATGATGACCTGAGTTGGCATATTGATGGAAGGAGGTGTGCTGGAGGGTGCAATACAGCAGGCATCTGAGAAGCATGGGGAAATAGAAATTATAAGGACAATGGGCTTAGATGACTGTTCTGGGTGCACTGGAAAAAGACAAGAGAACGTGGAGGATGATTAATCACCAATCAAAGGCTGCATGTGAAAGCCAGAGAGGCTCTTTGACAATGTCTAAGGAGAACTTCTCTCTAGCCAAAGACAATCTAAGAAGGATGGGGCCCAGGACTTGCATTGAGAAGCAGAGCTCCAGAGAAGATGGAACTCAGCCGTCTAAGGTCTGCTGCCCCACAGTGGGACCTGGCTGCTGAAATGCCAGGTCTGCTAAGACAGCAAAAGAACCATATCTCCAAGGAGTACACTACTATTTCTAAGCTTCCCCCAGAATCTTGGAGTAGCTGATTCTATAATTTATTAGAAGCAAGTGAGTCTCAGTGGGGCCAAGTGTAACAGTAGTGGATGTGGCGGTGTTTGCGTTTGTGACCCCAGAGATTGGGTTATTGACAGCTGGCATCTTTCAGCTGAGTCCTTCTCTGGGAACTGCTTGAGCTGAAGAGAACCACACTCTCCTCAAGGTCACACCCTTCTTCCTACTGGCAGCTGCATCCAGTAATTGGTCATGGAAGTACAAAGATTCCACCCTCCTTGCCTCAGTGTGGGACATCTCTGAAAGGCCACCCAACATCCTAGCTCCCAGTGGGTTTCGAGAGAGTTGGACATCACAGTCTAACTCCTCTCTCTCCCTGTTTTTGCTTCTTTCACATGGTCTTGACCTCAGGAACACTTCCCAATACATTTCCTTCCAGAAAATTTGTCCCAGAATCTCCTTTCCAGAAAATGTACCTACAAGGTTTAAATCTGGCTCTGCCACTTACTAGCCAATTAGCTGTCCCCATGCCCCAGTTACTTACATCTCCTCATGCCCATTTCTTCATCTGCAAAATGGGAATATTATGATCATACCTACTCCTAAGGATGAAAAGAAGAAAGAGTTAATACATGTAGAGCTCTCAGAATATGTTGCATATGATAAATATGCAGTATCTGCTAACTGTACTAACTACTCTTGTCCTATTAAGGGATAATTGTG